GACATTTACCACAAATTAAAGTTATCTTATATTATTAGATATATTATTATAAAATATGCTTTGGTTAAGGAGTTATTGATACTTCAAGTGCAAAATGATGATATAAAACCATGATAAAAATGCACTTTTAAGTACTAATCAATAGTCTAAGTCCAATTTTATTAAAGTAAGAATCCAAAGAGAAGAAAATAAAGGAGGAAATTTGAAAGAGGGAAAAAAAATGAAAGGGAGGATTTGAAGAAGAAAAACAATTAGAGAGGAAGGTCTTCTTTGACTTTAGAAGCAAAAGTAAAAATAGTATTTTGACTGCTATAAATATTAAATAGTTTTTTAATATGAATAAAAAGATTGGTTATATATAAATGGATCACTTATCACTTCTAATATATTTTATTTAGAATAATTTGTTTTGTTTGTTTGTTTTATATAAACTAAAACATGGTTGGGTTTTCTATAAATTAGATTGGTTATATAAAAGTATTTGTCAATAAATAAGTTTTTATCTTAGCAGATTAAATATAATCATTCAAATATTAAAAAAGATATATTTTTGACATTTTGTTAATATTAAAAATACATTTTATATATGAGTTTGTAATTCTTGATATTTGAACAAGCAAGATAATTTTTTTTGTATTTTTTAAATATAATCTAAGTTCTCATAAATTGGTTATTAAATCAAAAATTGCATGCAAAGATATTAATAAAACTATTTTTTGTGAATTTTTACATGTAAGGATGTTAAATCATGTCGTGTATTGTTTTTCTTTATTTTTATTATTTATGCAAATATAATTATATTTTTAGAGAGACTTAACCATGTGCTAATAAAAATAAAAATTTTATTTTTTAAAGAAAGATTTTTTGTTGTTGTTGTTTTTATGGAAGGAAATTGATTTATTTAATACCAGAAAAACATCTCGTGTATAGGTTATTTGACAGTATGATTGCGGTTACTCTTCAAATAACTTTTCATGCCAAGATACATGTTAATAATATTTTTATTATTTTTTTTATAAATGTTTTTTGACATCAGCACATTAAAATGATTTAAAAACATATTAATTTGAAGTTAATAAAAAAAAATTAAAAATAAAATTTTTAAAAACGATTTTAAAACGCATAAACAAATAACATGTTAATTGAACAAGGTATCAATTTAAAAAACAATAATAATCAAACCCATCTTAATAACAAGCAAACACCAAACCCAAACATAATCCATGAATCAAAAATTAAATTTCAATTAGCAATCACAATCCCAAAAATAAACACACAACCTAACATAAATTATCAAATAAAAAACACACATTAATTCAAATTAAATAATATCCAAATAATCCAAAATTATACATAATAATAAACATCATGTTCCAAAGTTTAACATCATTATAGCAATTTGTCTAAAAAAATATATGAAATTATGAATCAACCTTATTAGATGTTTGGCATGTCTGAGATTTACCGGAATCAAAGCTATAAGTAGAAGAATATTGATGACATGTGGTTTCCACACACCACCACCACTCTTTAGCTATTGATTAAAGCCATTATTTTAAAACTCGGCTCGATCTGATAGGTGGACTTGTGACTTAAGGCTTTGGGCGAGACGAGTTTTAAAAGAAATTGAGGACAATTGATCTAGTGTGAAACAATAAAAAACCTGGGTTGACTTTTGTATTGATTAACCGACCAATCAAGATTAGCTCAAGCTTGTTGACTATTTTTTTTTAATTATTTTTTTTCAATTGATGTTATTTTTACTTTTTTATAAAATAAAAAAATTTAGTTGGTTTGGATTAACTCGGTTCGACCTACTCGACTTGTGAATCAGTACTTGTCTTGGGTCATTTAAAAACCATAGGAAAAACCATGAAAACCAAATCCCAATAAATTAAATACTGAATAATAAAAAAATCAAAGATAAAAAATAACAATTAAAAAAATAAAAATCTCATCATGTAGAAACAACATTTGAAGGACAACATAAAATTTTGAATTGAATGGCAAAACACAATTCAAATTAACAAAAGATTCCAAAATTAAAAAAAATAAAATAAAGAAAACAAGGATCAAATAAAAATATATATAAAAATCAAGATTATAAATCTAAGGTTGAAATTGAAAACAAATTAGATTTTAATAAAAGAGCAAACAATCAAAATTAAAAATTAAAACATTAAAGGTCAAATCTAAAATATCTTCAAATTTTGAATTGAAAAGAAAAATCAATTTCATAAAAGAATTCAAAATAAAAATAAAAATCAGGATAAAAGGGATTGAATTTAAAATAAGATCATGGATCCAATAATAAAATTAAAAAAAAAATTAAAAGAGTTAAGAATTAAAATTAAAAATCAAGAAATTTAATTTCAGACTTGAAATATTATAAAGTAAGAAGACAAATTTAATATAAAAGTTAAAAGTTAAATGATGAAATTAATTAAATAAATAAATTAAATTTGACACGGTTTACAATGATAATATAATAAAATTAATAAATAAGATGTTTTTTTATTTTTTTTACAATGACAATATATTTTTAAAATATCTTGTTCGGCCTAATAGGCACTACTTAAAAGGCGCTAGCGCCATTGTGGACATGTCATCAATATTTTATTTATAATAATATTATATTTTAATTAAAAGACTTAAATACTCTTAAGTTAACTTGTAAATTATAAAAAAAACTTATACGAAACGATGAAGGCTCCCGTGACCTTAACTTTCATAAAATTTAATTAAAAGGATAATTTGTATATTTCACAGTTTAAAATTTTTGAAAAACCGTTCACTTTTCATTTTAATTAATTTAGCTTTCAAGGTAGTTTATAATTTTATTGTACATCTAGAAAGGGAAAGCCCTCGATATCTCTATGAATTTTAAATTAACAAGTTAATCAAGTAAAAAAAAAACTATTTTACCACTAAAAACAAGTTATGAATTCTGTGCGATAAAAAGTAAAAAAAATAATTTTATTGTAGGAATTTATATAAAATTAGAGAGAGTATACAGTAAAAGTCTAGGAGTTTCAAAGATT